GCTGGGACCTGGGAGTCCATCCGGGCCAGGGAGGCCCATCGGGCCTTTGGATCCTCGGGGCCCCACGAACCCTAAAAGGAAACAGAGGTCATCCCTATAACCACAGGTCTGCACTGTGATATAATAGGAAGAGGAATCAGAAAGAGGCTGGGTCGAGGCTGGCCTGAGCGCAAGTTTCTGGGGTGCCTCCCTCACAGAATTGGCCAGGCCAGGCCACCAACAAATGGTTAAATGACCCCAAGTGGTTGCGTTAAACACCTCAGGGGGAGGCATTTTGTTCTTTCGGTTGTCAGTGGAGCTCGATATTTTAAGTCAATTTCCATTTATAGAACATCTGTTAAAAAAGGAACAACGATGGAAAAATTAGCTGCCCTCAGCTAAACAAAATCTGACCTGAGACCCAGAGGATTGCAGTCGGGTCGTTAGCTCGAGCCCAAGCCCTGTCGCCCACTTGGGTGCCCACGGCGCCCACAGGCGCTCCTGCCTTCCCCTGCCGCTGGGCCCACCCCTACAGGGTAGCTACAGTGGATGAAGCCTTCAGAACTAATGCCTCCTTGGACGTAAATCATCATGATTCATGGTATCTGCATTGTGCAAATTATCCCAAAACACTGTGTCTGTGGGACCGTCAGGATTGTGTGTGCAAGTGAGGGACAGAGTGGTGTTGACAGAAGACCCCTCAGAGCCCAAACTCTGCCCCTGTAACTTTCTCCCTGGTCATCAGTCAATTTGGAAACGCGTTGAAGGGGAATCGATAGTCCTTTGTCATTGTGACTGTCAACCGCCCATATTTGGATGGAGGGAGTGACTGTCATGTGCCTGTCCCTGATGCCACTGGGTCAAATGGTCTCACCACTACTTCCCCTGTCAGCGTCCTCACCCCTGATGCGGCCTCAGCTTGAACTGAGGGAACAGTCATGTGTCTGTTCAGAAGGAAAGCTTTCTGAGGTCATGCCTGCCTCGGCTCGAGCAGGCAGGGTGTGAGAAAGAAGGCACTGGCTGCCCCCTCTATGTGGTATACATGACAGAAAGACGGTGTGCATGGGGCCCGGGCCTTTCCTAGGGCGTGAACTTGCCCTAGGAGCCGGGAGGTGGGTTGAACAGTGTGGATGGGTTTGGGAGACAGAACAAAGGATCTAGAACCAATGAGCTAGACACTATTTCAGAGTTTTAACGACGTGATTTACCCATAAAAGAGATATGGCTTTCACAGGGTCTCACCCATTTGTGGAATATAATGAACAACATAAACTGATGAACGAAAATAGATCCAGAGACATAGAAGCATTGAACAGACCGTCCAACCTCAGAGGAAAGGCAGGGGAGTGGGGAGGGGTGGCGGTAAGAGAGCAACCGAAGGACTTGTATGCATGCATATAAGCATAACTCATGGACACAGACAGTAGGTGGGTGAGGGCATGTGCTGGGGGGTGGGGGTAGCTGGGAAGAGGTCAATGGGGGGAAAAAGGAGACAAATGTAATACTTTAAAACAATAAAGAATTTAAAAACAACAACAGCAAAACTATACATGGGAACTGTGTACTTAAACTTGTGGGTGTGAGTGCGTATGTGGCTCTTATCTCTGAAATAGACTCTTGGTGTTTTGCAGTCTTTGAGGTTGGGTATTTTACTTTCTTCTTCACGTGGTGATAGAAGCATAGTCTAGCCCATCACCAGAAGGAGTGACATACCTTTTAAAAACTGAACAGATTAGTTCTTCCTTTACCCCTTCCCTCTGTTCTATCCAACGTCCTGTTCACGTAAGGGCTTACATTCCAATATAGAACAGGCTTTCTCCGCATGCTGTAAGCTTCCCTGATAACAGGCACATCTCTCTCATTCTTCACGTCAGGAGAATGCTATGCGGTTCATGCCCACTCGTCTGGACACATCAATTATGATTACTAGGCACCCATTATATTCAAGGCAAGAAGGTCTTCATGAATTATTTTCCTTCTTTCAAAAATAGACCCACTTAACTTTTGGATATCAATGGAGGTGCAATGCTGTAACTCCTAAGCATGTGGGTGCTCCCAGCAGGGCAACAGAAGGACACAGTCTGATCCTCTGGTGTGATGGCAGAAAAACTTTGTTTCTCTCCAAAGCAGGGTTTGCATCAAGGCCTCGACAAAAGACAAGGGAGTGTGCCTCCCAATTTTGCAAAACACAGCTGTGATGCATAATATGAAAGGCAACAGGATAACAGTTTGCAACAATTTTTAAGGCTGGAACACTGAACCCAGGAAGAAAATCTATCAGGGAAGAAGGCGAAGTTCTACATTTGGGATTAAACCACTTGTATCAGGGACCGAGGCAAAATTCACTTAATCTTTGCTGAAAATATTTACTAAGGACCTGACCCTAAGGACACACAGACCCACTGCTGGGTGTGATAGTCCAGACATGCGGAACCTTTTCCAGTTTCTGGAGCCAGTCTGATATGAGTGCCGACATGCGGCAGGCTGTCATGTTCTGAATTCTGAGGGCGTGGAAATTATGTTATAAAAAGAACCACTGCGTTCCTGGGGTCAGTTCTGTCTGTTCTTGAGATGACTGTGAAGCGATATGACTGCTCTCTCCCAATGTGTGTGCAGGGTGGTTACACGGTGGAACCACCGGCTCAAGGAACAACCTACGAGGAACCTACTGGGAGGCAGATTTCATTTAAACCGAGGAAGAACTTTCTAGCAAAAAGAGAGTTTCAATGTTTTCTGGGTGCTGGGTGACAAGAGCGAGTCTCAATTCTTGTAGAGGCTAGAACACCTGACCAGAATCCCGAGGGAGGATGTTTGGACTTGGGTGGCCTTAGTGGCTTCTACCGTTTTATGTAAATAATACAATTCTAAAATGCATAGCTCTCTGCATACCAAGTAACACAGTCATACTCATACTGTTCCAGCCATAACCACAAAGGGACAACTGGGTTTGGGGACACTGCATTATGTTATAGATCAAGCTGACCCCCAAGCAGGTACCCCCTACTTCTCACCATAGTTCATTACCAGAAACACATTCATTTCCCTCCATACACAGGTAAGTAGGTGGCTTAAGCTCTTTTAGCCACTCAATGACTTAAATAATTATTTGCTGTGTCAAACACAGATGGAATGGTTCAAACGGTTTCCCCAGACAAGCTGCACACTGAAGAGTGAGCAGGGAATGTCATGAAAAGCAAATGCATGTGTGCTCTTCGTGGTGAGTGACCAGCCGATGGGGAATCTAAGACGAAAAAGCTGCCTGAGCCCTTCCCTGATAGAACACTATGCTGCCCTTAGAATGTTTCCTATCGACCAGAGGACATCTTTATGCACATCTGTCCTTTCTTCCTGCCCTATCTGTATCATGTTTTGCAAAACCCCAGAACATTAGTGATAAAAAGTATTCAAGAATTTTAATCTCCTACGGACAAAAACAAGTCATCATCGAGCATTTGTCGACGCAGTTTCTAAATGTTGCAAGACAACAGAGCTGGACACCCGATCATACGCTCACAGTCATGTCCTCACCGAAGATCGGAGAGCGGGTCCCACCCTGACCTACCTGGGGGTCCTGGCAACCCTTCGCGACCTGGATCTCCTGGGGGACCCTTGAGTCCTTGGGGTCCATCTTCTCCTGAGAATCCTGGTAACCCTCTGAGGCCTTTGATACCTAAACAACCCAAAGAAATCACAACATGTATCAGAGCCACTCTGCCATAGCCAAGGCTGAGTCCTGAGCAGCCGGAATCTTCTCCTTTAGACTAGGGTTCGACTAGGTGTCAATCACCACACACATTTCTGTCCTGACGAGTAGAAGTCTGCCTCCTTTAGAAGCGACCTGTCGGTGGTGAGTGTCAAGATGGCAGAACACGGAGACATCCCAGGGCGGAGAGGAATGTAGGGGGCCAAGGAAAGGTGTACAAAAAGGGGAAAGAAAAATGACGATGTGAATGGGAAGGCTGGCAGTGACCTCTCGTTTCCCAGAGCACGTTACCTGGGGGTCCTGGGGGTCCCGGCTGGCCTGGCAATCCCTTGGGTCCTCCGACACAGCCTGGGAAGGAAGAGAAAAAAGATGAGCCAACGCAATCTTTAATGTGAGTCTCACGGCCTTGGGACAATGGCAAGGTCAAGAACACCAGCCATGAAAACTGGCTTCCATGTTATGATCAGAGAAAGTCAATGAGTTAATTAATCTCGATCTAATGTGAATAAAAGTTTAATTTTATCGTGTAATGAAATGAATATTAGAATATTAATATAAAAATGCAAATAAGGTAAGTCCAGTCAAATAACAGCTGGCACTGAGCTGGCAGCCATCCACCCCTCACTTAGGGCAGCACCTCAGCACGGCTGAGCTAATCTAGCTCCTCCCCTGTGAGCCCACGTGAACGCCTTTTTTGTCTGGAAATGCCCACCAGTGGATGAAGACCGTTGGAGATTTCAAAAGGAATTCTTTGCTTTCTCCTTTGTGACTCTGAATACCTTCAGAATCGGCCACAGCAATAACAGCTTGGAGCCACATGAAACGAAACCTGAGTGGCAGCCGCTTCTGGGTGGTGTGGCCGGGCTGGGACACCAGGCGGGGCTGGGACACCAGGCGGGGTATTTTGCGGTGTGGCCTCTGTCAGAGAGCCCTCTGCAGTCCAGCAATTCTGCGAGATGTCCTTCATCTGCGTGCCTGGGATTGGGCCGGGCTCCTATCTTGACAGAGGCTTTGGCCTCCTCTGCCTGACCAGGGACCCAGAGGTACAACCTGGCCAGCCCAGGTCATAAAAAGAAAGGAACCCACTGTCTCCGGAGGGCCTGGCCTCCAGCCTGCAGAGCCTCACACCCAGGGGCCTTCCCCCATTTGCATCACTGGCCAGTTGTCCGGGAGCTCTGGGGTTTGCCGTTCCTGCTCCACACCCTTGCTCTGAGCGCCGGGTCCATTCCCACAGCTCACCCCCAACCTCATCCTCATGCAGGGGACCCACAGATCCTGATGCTACTTCTCCAACCCTGACCTTAACGGAGGCTTTGCCTCTCCCAGGCCAGGTCAACCTCTGGATTCTCCCCCTCTTCTCTCCTACCACCGAGCCGTGGCTTGGGGTCGTCTCCATATCCTCTCCGGAGAGCTGAATATATGCATACATTTTAGGTGTAAAACTGTATCTGTTGAGTTCTTAACAACGTTGCAAATTGATGCCTGATATTGGTGGGGGGACTTGGCAACACTACATCCCATTATACTTCCCTTTTCTCTGATTCTAAGCAGAACGGGATGGGGTGCCAGCTCCATGCTCATGGCAGGAGCTCACAGCAGTTGTTGACCAGTCACATGTCTTATAAACCAGAAGTTTTAAAGAGTTCTAAAGCCGCTCAATCTTCATGACAGTACCTGGCTGGATGCCTTCCTGTCCGTCACCTCCGATGGGCCTTTTCACACCTGTATCACAATCTGGGAGCAAGACACGAGGACAGAGTCAGGCAAACTGGGAACAACGGAAAGTGACTAACTTCTCTCTGAATGTGTGTTGGTGGTGGTGGTGGAGGGAAGGCTGGGGATGGGCAGGGACTGCCAAGGCCCATGACTTCAGCTCTGGAAGGAGAGGCCCTGCATTCCAACTGAGGAGACGAGGCTGTTGGTGGGTCTGAGAAAACTGTGGTTGGGTATCATTTGTGTGTGAGAACTGATGATGCAATGCAGCACTCTCACCTGACCCCCTGGGGAGCTTACACATTGCCAGAAAGAACAGCGGATACATGTTGAAGCACTAAACAGCGTCGCGTAACTTTGAAAGATGACAGAAAGGATCCTTATACCTATTTGTCCTGGGAGGCCTGGGGGGCCGGGAGGTCCGGGGAAGCCTGGTTGTCCGGGTAATCCAGCCTCTCCGGGGAAGCCACGCTCGCCTTTGGGGCCTGGCAGGCCCAGTCCTGGGGGACCCCTTTCTCCTGGAATGCCCTTGGTTCCGGGGGCTCCTGGGTAGCCTGCGTCCCCTGGGGGGCCTTTGATGCCATCACCCTGTGAGAATATTCAGTTTATTTTTTAAAAGATAAGTACACCTCAAAGAGACCATATTCCCTTTCCCCATTCCCCTGAGAGCCAAGCTAGGAACTTTTTTAGAGAGCATGGGAGGGTGAAGGAGGGGGGAAGAGGGAGAGGGAGAGGGAGAGGGAGATGGGGGGGGGAGAGAGAGAGAGAGAGAGAGAGGAGAGAGACCTCAATGTGAGAGAAACACATTGACTGGAGCCTCCCCAACATGCCCCAACCAGGGTGGATAACCTGCAACCCAGGTATGTGCCTTTGACTGGAATTGAACCTGTGACCCTTCGGTCCACGGGCCGACGCTCTAACTACTGATGCTGGCCAGGTTCTCTTTGGCTTTTAAATGCTCACTCTGGGCTTGGCTTCCCACCTGACTCACTCTGTATTAAAACATATAATTTCTGCTCGTTAAAATGGAATGGGCTGCATGGGGTGGACTTAGGGGAGTACCAGCACCATTCACTTCTGAGGTGTTTGAGAACATGGCTGATGAGGGTGGGGGCTGAGCCAGTCCCACATTCGGGGCTACTCACGGGAGGGCCTGGAAGGCCGGGGAATCCATCGAGCCCGTCACGCCCCTGGGTGCCGTCCTCACCTTTCAGACCAGGCACACCTGGGACACCTGGCTGTCCCTTCTCACCTGGGAAGAATGAGCAGTGTGATTTACTCACCCGATGCTGCCACAGAGGAAGCAACAGGGCAAGAACTGCTTGGCCACAGAGGACTGACCTTTGGTGGTAATTGTTCTAGAATCTCCCTTTATTCCTTTGGGTCCAGGAGGTCCAATGTCACCAGGGATTCCCTGTGGAAACAAACACAACGTTTCTTCCTCCTTCATACTGTTTATGCGTCTGTGAAGAAGACGATTTCCGGTTCCTACAACGGGAGGGCCATGACCTGCCATCCAACCGGTGCTGTCCAAAGGAACTTGCTGCCGTGTCCGAGGCGCTCTCTCCCGGGCTGTCCAGTACAGTGGCCTCCAATCACACAGGGACAGTGAACACTTGGAAGTGGCCCATGGGACTGAAGAACTGAATTTTAATTTTAAATAATTACAAGCAGCCACGTAGCAGGGCAATGGAAACTGGGACCTTGCTACTCAACGTTTGGTCCATGAGTCAGCAGCTGAGGCCTCTCCTGGGCGCTTGTAAGAAACACAGAACCTCAAGCCCCACCTGGGGCAATGGAACCAGAATCTGTATTTCAACTGAGTCCCTGGATTCATATGCTCATGAACTATTGAGCAGCAATGACCTAAATCATAAGGTGGCTCACTCTTAATGACAATTACTTAGAATCTGAGCAGAAATCAGCCTGTACAAAGGATGGAAATGTGTGATCATTCATAATGAGAATAAAGGGTACTGGAAACTAAGGTTGGAAGAAAACACACTTTAAAGACAAGTTTATTGCAGGATCACTCACATTTTGTTGAAATTTTCCAATGAGCAGCTTAATGGTGCAAGATGCATTTTTTAAAAAAATATATTTTATTGATTTTTTACAGAGAGGAAGGGAGAGAAAGAGTTAGATACATAGATGAGAGAGAAACATCGACCAGATACCTCCCGCACATCTCCCACTGGGGATGTGCCCGCAACCCAGGTACATGCCCTTGACCGGAATCGAACCTGGGACCTTTCAGTCCGCAGGCTGACGCTCTATCCACTGAGCCAAACCGGTTTTGGCAGCAAGATGCATTTTAATATGTGCGATGTGATAGTTCTTAATTGCAAGGTTATGGGAGCTTTTAGTGTTGGTTTAATTAAGTGGAATGTTACAAGTGATTATGAGTTCCTTTCTCCTAAAAAAATTCCACAGATACTTGGTTTATTGACTTAGATCTTTGCAGAAAAGGATGATGAAAATGTTTGTGTCCAGACAGTGTCTCACACATAGACTCTGGTTAATAAGTAGGTGTTGCATGGTCTCACTTATATGGGGAATCTAATGAACAAAATGGGTCGAGACATGGAAAAATGGAACAGACTGACAAATATCAGAGGAAAGGGGGGCGGGGAGAGAAGAGATTAATCAAATAATTTATATGCATATACCCATAATCCATGGACACAGACAAGACGGTGGTGAAGGCCTGGGGAAGGGGGTCCATTGGGGGAAAATGGGGGCCATCTGTAATACTTTCAAGAATAAAGATAAATTTTTTAAAAAGTAGGTGTTAGGCACATGAATGGATGGATGCATTCATTTCTTGACCGATTATTCCCACACTTCCAACACTCTGCCAGACTCCATCAGTACAAATATTTAAAAACAAAAAACCACCTTGGTCCTTCCTGCTACTGTGGAGTTGGCTGACATATAAACACAGAATTAAGTACGAGACCACAAACACACCAGAGATATTTGAACACACATGCAGTGGGTGTGTACACAATACAGTTGGGAAATGCCTGAGCTTTGGGAAGATTTCAGACTTTCCAGGTGCACAAAAGGGGATCATATGACTTCCAGGGAATATTCAATCATTTTACAAACAATCTGAGATTCTATCAGTTTTGCCATTAAGTTTGCAATTCTCACTACATACCCTTCTAAAGGAATAGACAGCCATGATTATTTTTAAACTAGGATAAAACGTAGCATCTACTAATTTTAGTTGGAAATGGCTATTTGTTTCCTGAGAAATTTGGGGTCTGGAGCAGACGGGTGCTTCGGGTCTCATTTTTGCCTGTAAAACTGGTGTTACAACCTTCCGCACCAGAAGCTCTGAGGGGCTGCCATTGTCCTGCACCATGTTGTGGGGTCCGGCCACTCTAACTGTCCTGGGCCATGTGTCCTCAGCAACCTTTCCTCCACTGCTAAGTATATAAAATGACAGGCTTCTCACTTTATAAACCTCCCCGGCTCCTTCTCTTTTCAAAAAAAATATATTTTTATTGATTTCAGAGAGGAAGGGAGAGGGAGATAGAGATGCAAACATCAATGATGAGAGAGAATCATTGATCGGCTGCCTCCTGCAAGTCCCACAAAGGGGATCGAGCCCGCAACCTGGGCATGTGTCCTGACTGGTAATTGAACTGTGTCCCCCTGGTTCATAGGTCAACACTCAACCACTGAGCCATGCCAACCGGGCTTTGGTTCTCCTTTTAAGAACACACACACACACAAAAGTGTAATTTCTTTGCCTTCATCTGAAATTTGCTCTGAAATGGTTAGTTAAAATCTGCCACGGAAGAAAAATCTACTCCAGATGATCTTTTCATAAGGCATGAAATAAAGGCCACTTAGCTGATGTACACAGGGAGTTTGTGGGAGGGAGTTTCATACATTCGTACAAAGTAAACCATGATTCACATGCAGATCTGGGTTTGATTGGGTTAAGGGAGTTTTCATAAAATGCTACACTAGTTCTGTACTAAATCTGAAGAGGTGAATGCTTCCTAAGTAAGATACTTTACATTCAAAATGCCAGAAGTTATTTTTTTTGGGGGGGTAGGGTGGGTATAATCTTATACCATAAAATTCACCAAGTTAAAGCACACAATCCTGTGGTTTTTAGTATTTTACAAGGTTACGGAACCATCATTATCTAATTGCAGAACATTTTCATCAACCCCAAAAGAATCTTCGTGCCCATTAACCAGTCAGCCCCATTCTCCCCGCGCTCCCCACTCCATGCCCTCCCAGTCCCTGGCAACCACCAATCTACTTGTTTCTAGATTTGCTTGCTCTGAACACTTCATATAAATAGAATAATAACATCTGTTCTTTTGTGCCTATTTTATTTCATTAAGCATCACGCTTTTCAGTTTCGTCCACACTGTATGTAACGTGTCAGTATGTTATTCCTTTTGATGGCTGAGTAATATTCCACTGTATGGGGATAGTATGTTTTGTTTATCCACTCACCAGTGGATGGACATTGGGTTGTTGCCACTTTGGGCTCTTATTATTGATACTGCTATGAATATTTGTACACGAGTTTTTACATGGACATGTGTTTTCAGTCTCTCGGGTCTACACCTAGGAGTGGACTTTCTGGGTCAGAGGGCCATTCTATGACTGACTTTTTGAGGAACTGTCACACCGTTTTCCACACTGGCTGCACTGTTTCATATCTCTACCAAGCAAAAGTCTTAAAAGTTCCCCTCGGAATACGTAGCCCTTTTGGGTGAAGTGTTGGGTGCTTGAGTGTTGCTGTCCAAAGCTGTGTTAATTCACGAAGCAAAAGCTGGGGGAACAGGGATGGGCATCAAGGATGTCTTGTCAGCTCTGTGATGGAATCTGTCTCTCACCTTGAACCCTGGGAACCCAGGGGTGCCGTGATGGCCAGGGTCTCCTAGAATCCCTCTCTTCCCCGGCTCCCCGCTGAAGCCCTGTAAGCCCTTCGGTCCTGGCAGCCCTGGCAGAGCCGGGATGATCTGATCATCTGCGCATTTACAGTCCCCGACATCACCTGCAATGTGAGGGAGAGGGAGGGACTCGTTATTCATTCACAAGCACAGGTTAAACCGTCTTTTTGGCTTTGCAGGGACAGGAGCATAAGTGGGCTGGGGGGCTGGGTTGAGGGTGGAGGGAGGAGCGGAGGCAACTCCACACTCCACGGCCATCATCTACTCTGGTCTTCACACTCCCGCACGCAGAATTCTACTGCAATGGTTACTGGAGATGCTTAAACAATGGGACCATTTGCAGAGGTGTGTGCAGAGTGCAGGATTCAGTGGAGGGGCTTCAGGAAGCCACCATGGGGTCTCAGGGGCAGGAGAGGAGACGGGGTCTCAGGGTCTAGGTGAAGGAAAGCCGTGGCAAGAGCCGTGGCTTAGAGGCCCAGGTCAGGTGGGGAGAGAGAACACATGCCATCTCTCTCCCTCAGTCTCGCCATGGCTGGACTCGGGGAGCCTGTGCAGGTGGTAGGGCCGGCTTCCCAGGAGCCAGGGGGCCCGTGGGGAAAGGATGACAGATGATGGCTCAGTGGGGCCAGGCTGTACAGCTCATGCGCAGATGTCTGATCCTGCAGTTAGTGCTGTCCATCGTGGGGCACACAGCCACACACATCCACAAAGGTTCAGATGTGGTTAAAGCCCGAACATGCTACCCACGCCCAGGAACGGGAGAGCTAAGCAGGCCTCACCAGGGTACCTGACAGCTTCACCGACAAGGGGCCACCTGGCGACCCTTCCCTGGAAAGGGCACTGAGCTAGAGCAGTGCCCCCAAGGGGTGGCACTTCTACCACCCAGTGGGAGTGAGACATGGGCAGGCCACGTGACTCCTCTGAGCCTCGACCTCCTCTCCCGTTAACTAATCCCTAACCCAGGGGTCAGCCGTAGGATCAAACCAGACGATTGCTCCGCAAGCACTCTGCAGCGGGCAGGTGCCTTACAAATCCTTGTTACATTGCCCTGAGATGGGCCCTCGGATATGAGGTCAGCCGGAGAAATCACTGCTCGTCTTTTTTGCCCAGTGCTGGGCTCTGCGCTCCTTGAACATTCAGTGAGGAGGTTGGCAGACGGAGAACAGAGAAGGGTGAGCAAATGAGTGCTGGGTGGCTGCACAGAAAACTTAATGCACATCACCCACCTTGACTTCAGTGACACTTGCACGGAAGACAGAGGGGGCCAGTGCAGAACTAAAGGATTGTGTTCATTTCAGAACAAGTGCAAAAGGTGAAGTGGACTCAGAAGGGCCAAGTCTTCCCTCCACCCTCTCTCCATTGTTCCCGACACCCCTTACCTTTCCATCCTTTCTGTCCGCGAGCCCCAGGGAAACCGGGGGACCCAGGAGTGCCCTCCTTTCCGGGTCTTCCTTTAATGCCAGAAAGGAAACCTAAGGAGGAAATCCACAGGGCAGCACGTTAGCACAGCCTAGGGCAGTGATGGCAAACCTACGACACGTGTGTCAGAAGTGACACGCGAACTCATTTTTTTGGGTTGATTTTTCTTTGTTAAATGGCATTGAAATATATAAAATAAATATCACAAATATAAGTCTTTATTTTACTATGGTTGCAAATATCAAAAAATTTCTATATGTGACACGGCACCAGAGTTAAGTTAGGGTTTTTCAAAATGCTGACACGCCAGCTCAAAAGGTTCGCCATCACTGGCCTAGGGGATTCCACATCTCGTTGAACCCAGAGGTGGAAGGTTTGCAACTAAATCTCCTAACAGAGTGAAAATGTCCCCCACCCCTCAATTCCACTCCAAAACTCCTCATCAGAGAGAAAGGGAGACTGTTTTGTGGTCACTGCTTTCAGGGATGCAAAGAACTGTGAAGAGCCTGTGAATTTAGTGTTTCTATTAAAGTCTAAAGATAAAAATCTTTCCTTTTGAGAAACGTTGAGTCAAAAGCAAAATTTTGATTTTTCAACCATGTATTTTGCTAACGACTTGAATTCTAAGATTATCAACAGACACCTGGTTTCCCAAAGACAAAACAACAAAGTAAAAGTAGATATCAAAATTAAGTCGGTTCCCTATTCTGCCCTCTCCCCCGGAATGGGTGCACACACCAACATACTTCTCCCCATACATAGACCATGCACACCGGAGTTTGTGTAATTAATGTAGATAACCTGTGACCCATCTGGATTCAGGGTGGTCACCCCCACTCTCCCGACTCTCCCCCCTTTCACAAGGATCAAGATACTTTCCGAGTCCTGCCACTGTCTGCAGGGCTCCAATAATTCCAAGCAGGAATCTGGGCAAAGGTGTAAGAAATACACTCTAAAAGCCAACAGAACTCTCCAAATCGCATTTGAGAGGAGCGCCATCTTGTGGTGGGACTGGGGTTGCACATGTGCAGGAAACATCACTGCTGGGCATGGAACTTGAGTCTCCCTGACATTTCTGTTCTCCTCACTGCTAACCCCTATCATGCTCATAGCTCCAAAGATCCAATAAAACTCCTCCAACAAATTAAAATACATGCGGCCATACCCACCTCCTGGTATCTGAGAGGAGGAAAGAATGAGGCCACCAAGGAGGCAGGAAGGAGAGGAAAACACCAATTTTAAAAACGTTTGCCATCTAGGTGGGAAAATGATATCAGAATCTCAATGTCAGAGCGCACCTAGGTAACTAAATCTTTATGGAAAGGTGGCAGTGACTCTTGTCCCATGTAGTTTGATCTCACTACACATTTAATATCATCTCTCTCATGCATCCATCTATCCATTTATTCATTAAACAGTTGCAGCGCCCACACTGTGCCTGGCAGTGTGCTAGGAGCTGTGTATACAGCTGGAAACAGAACCGACAGATCCGCATGGAGCTTGCTGGTTAGATGTGGAGGCACACATCAGACAAACCACAGTGTCAATTATGGCCAGTGCTGTGAGAAGGGGGCTCAGAGAAAGTAACAGGGAGAGAGGGCATCAGGACAGTCATTTCTGAGAACTTGACACTCAGTTTAAGTCCTAAAGAATAAAAGCCAGCCAGCCAAGAGGGGGCAGGAGGGAAGTTCCCAAGAGAGGATCAGCTTGTTGAAACGTATTGGAGGTAGGAAGGGTGCTGAGTGAGGAGCAGAATTGCAGAAAGGGAGGCGAAGAAGATCATGCCAGCCTAGTGGTCTAAGGAAGGGGATTTGGATTTTATCCTAAGGGCAACAGGAGGTCATGAAAGGGTTTTCAAGAGTGAAGTTACCCAATCTAACTTACAGGTAAAACGGACACACTGGCTGGGTGGCCAATTACCAGGAGAGAAAGAATGAAAGCAGGTCCTGATTGGGTGGGCTAGTTCAGCAGACTAAGCAGGAGATACTGTGGTGGCTTTCGTCAGGACAAAGGTAGTGAAATGATGAACTGACTCAAGATTCACGAGGCAGAATCACTAGGACTTGGCGATGGATTCCTGTGTGGGTGGGGGAGACACCACAGTGACTCCCAGGGCTCTGGCCTGAGTTCCTGGGTCTGTAGAGATGGGTGAGTCCCAGGAGAGGGGCATGTGGGTGGAGGACCTGGGGAGCAGGAGAGCCGAGTTCAGTTTTGCACACACAGAGTTGGAGATGTCTGTGATACATACAGTGGTGACTACATGGCGAGTTAGCAGTTTGTATTTGAAGCTCAGAACATGGACCTGGGCTCCAGATAGAGTGCTGGCATAGAGCTTGTACTTATATTCATGTGAATGGACGAGTTCCCTTAGGTAGAGAGCACAGAGAGAAAAGGGGGTCCAAGAAGGAACTTCATCTACTGGATGGACGGGTAGAGGGGGACACAGAAGAAAGAGTCAGCAAATGATCCTAAAAAAAAAAAGGGTCATTGAGATAACGTGGGGCATCCCGGGAGCCAGAAGAGAGTGTGTGAGGGAGGGGATGTCAGGGCTGCATCCCGTGCCCAAGAGGCTGCTGATGGAGCAGAATGGCGCCCCCAGGAGGTGACTGGGTCAAGAGCAGGCCAGGCTGAGACTTTAAGTCTACAGGCTTTATTTTAAGTCTACAGGTTCTTCCACTATGTTATGAGAAGTACAGTACCATGGGTAGCTGTTAATCCCAGATACGTCAGGGAGATCAGCATTGTACATGTGAGACAGAAGTTGTGTGTGCTCCTTAGACCGTTTGTAAATCTAGTAAAAGGCAAGTGTGGCTATGTGATGCCAGCTTTCCTTCTTCCTATTTCTTTTTTAAATCTAAGAAATCAATAATTTCAAACAAGTCCCACAGAGTAGCAGTGTGCCTCTCAGATTTGTCAAGATGCGTTCCCTGAACAAATCAGGCAGTATTTTGACTTATTCTAGAACAGACACAATGGAACAGCCCCACAGTTGATGAAGTTAACTGAGCTGGCACTAGGAGTAAGCAAAATATTTAGCTCAGAAAAAAACCTGACTTCACGGTTTGATTTTGCTGGAACTGTAAATCACTGAAAATTCTGATTTTCATCAACAACAACACACACAAAAAAACCCCCAGGATGTAATGCAATTAATAAGAAAAAAATCCAACAATTCATTCCAGGGGAACAGTCAAACTCTGAGTGAATCACGGTCATTGATATTAAATTCTTACAATACATGATAGTGTTTTTAAAAAGGCCAGTATGGGTGGCTACATTTTGTACACAAGATTGCTAAAAAAAACAAAGTTTATTGGAAATTGTGTGTCGTGCGGTAAGATAAATAGTCAAAGGGAACTTAAGCTGCATGCTTTTAAAATTTTTAGTTGATAAAATCTATCAAATACCATTCCACCTATTTTATAAATTCTCTCTTCAGTCTTCAATGTAAATCAGAAATAAGTTAATGTTTTTACAGGTGACTTATGTTAGTAAATCATAAATTTACTAAGCAAGATTTATAAAGCAAGATGGTATGTGTGTGTGTCTTTATAAAAAAGGAATTTAGTCACAGGAATAATGTCAAGGTTGGCCTTCAATCAAAGTCCTTTAAAGAGCTATGTATGTATGTATGTATTTCCTTTACGTTTCCCAAAGTACTTTAAAAATATTTTTATTGACTTCAGAGAGCAAGGGAGAGGGAGAGAGAAATAGAAATATCAATGATGAGAATTATGGCTGCCTCCTGAACGCCCCCTACTGGGGATCAAACCTGCAACTGGCGCATGTTCCCTGACCAGGAGTCCAGCGGTGACCTTTTGGTTCATAGGTCAAGCCACACTGGCTGGGCTATGCTTTTATTTTTAACACAGCGTGTTCTGTTGCCAAAAAAGGAAAACTCAACCAATACCATTTACTCAGGAAATATAACACTCATAGCAATGTAGCCATTATAAAGACTGTCACAGTAATAAGGGTTACTTCCAGGATAAAAAATAAAATAAAGATATCACTGCTCAAACTATTTGGCAATTTCCAGGGAAGTACTTGCACCTAAAAATGTTTAAAAGAATGTGAGAATTTGGTTTCTCCGGTCAAAGGAAAATTGGAAGCACAGAGCCATACTGACTTAAAAATTCACTGTGGAATTCTAAACAGAGTCGGAGAAGTGACTGCTGGTCTTTTAGTGGAAGAAGTATGCCCAGAGAGGCTCCTAAGGCTCCCCCAGTTTTCCTTCTAGAGAAGGTCTTCCCAAAGCAGTTAAAGGTCGGGTCTCTGAATTGACCTTTAACTGGCATCAAACACTACCTGTTAGCAAATGCGATACTCTTCCTCTCTGCAGAGAGGAAGCCATACATGACCACCAGGGGTGATGTCAGAGGATTTAAAGTCAAATATTTTGGAAAGAAGCTGCTCAATTGTGGTCCATGTAACACAGAAAGAAACTGTAACCTCAGGCTTTCTTCTAATATCTCAACTAGCCAATCTCTTGAGGAGATGACATGTTCCCATGAAGAGATTCTACAATGTTCAAAGCACAACTCTTTAAACCCGGAGGCTGACACGAATAACCATGTTTGATGGCACACTTCCCCGCCTCCCGAGAGCATTCTCAACTAAAAGACCCGCCACGGGAAACACCACTTTGTGCTATGAATTGATGATGGCCCCCCTAGGTCTCATGTGGGGACAGACTCTCATGCTTGTCTACTTTCTTGATTTTCACAGCCTTTCATCTTGACCTTGGCTAATTGCTGCCACTTCTTTTTATAGGCGGTGCAGCCCTCCCTTCTTGTCATCAGCTACTGCCACCTGTTCCGTTGTAGCTTTGGCTCTGCATGGGCTGGGAAGACATGACTAAGTCTGCTTAAAATTGTTGGCTAAACAGTGGAGAGAGGCTGCAGGTCAAGGTGTGAGGCCTCTGCCCTGGAAGAAGGTGCCTGGAACTTATCAACCGACGGCTTTCAGCTCTCATCTGCTTCCAGCGGGCACCTCTCCCATGTTTCACTGAAGGACAGACAACCCTGACTATGTACTATCCAAGGCACTGTTGCTACTCAACAGGTTTGTCCTTCTTTCATCACTGGCTTTTTCTATTGGCTCTGCAGGGAACTTGCTACACCCTAATGCACTGCCTACTGGTTTACGGCATTATTGCGCAGAAAGCCCAAGTGAAAATATGGCTGGGGCCCGACTTCTTCCTCTGGACACTAGAATGTACACCTCCCATGAGTTTCTGTCCACTTACCGTCTGGTCCAGGTGGTCCGGCGGGCCCCTGGAGGCCTTGGGACCCTGGCTTTCCGGGAACTCCTGGCGGGCCGGGGTATAGCGCAGGGATGCCCGGCTCTCCTGGGAAGCCTTTGGGTCCCATTTCACCGGGGAAGCCTCTCTTCACATCTGAAAATCCAACAGCATCACCAGCAGTGTGAAACTTCGGATATTTAGCAGCTGCGTTGGCCCTCCCGCCCATAGGAGGCCACCAGCAGGACTAGTAAATTCACAGTCCATTTAGCAACGTCATGGGCGGTGCCAGTCGTATAGTTCCTCATCATTCCAACTTCCTTAAAAAAAGCCCCTCTTCCTGCCCCCAAACAATGGCCTGAGAGTTGTTATCAACACCTGGCAACAGCATTTGTTGACTGCTCCTGCTCTTCCCAGCCAACTGACAGAATCATGACAGTTACTCATCAGCGGCAAGGTCTAACCTAGTGGGAGAGCTACTGTCACAGAGCCAGTTGTCTGCGAAGACATCCAGAGGTGGCTGGGAGGCCCATCACAGCTGCTAAACCCGCTCAATGAGAACGAGTGCAGCACCAGCCATGAGGGCCGGTGGTTTCTGCGAGGACCTGAGGGGACTTACTTTTGGTCCTAGCTTTGATACCGTGGAGCCACATTACCTTCATCTATGATGGACGTGCCAGGGAAGCCTGGTGGGCCAGGGTCTCCTGGTGGACCCCGAGCTCCTGAGTCTCCATAGGCCCCTGGAAATCCTGGGTCACCTCTGCCACCTGAAACCGAGACAGGCCTCATGATAAGAACAGGATGGTTGTCTAGGTCCGCGACCGATGGTCACCGTTTCATTGACGACACATTTACCAATACCCTGCGCACGTGTGAAGTGAGGCGGGGGCCAGATGTTTAATATATGTCTTACTTCCTGTTCTCAGGGAGCTCATTCCCAGTCAACAGGGGTAAGGCAGGATCCCTAGACATATCCTAAAACAACAGAGAGGTACCTAAGGCCAGAAAGATGCAGGGAGGCTTCAAAGGAGGGGGGGATTATTTTGGGGGGGAAATCTGATATTGAGGGACCATGGAGAATAAAGACAGCAGAAGTAGGTTTTGGGGCTATTGCTGTGTGCACTAGGCTTCGTGTGAAATACTTTAAAAACATTTGATTCCCATAAAACCATGTGACATAGATAGTGTCATAGTCCTAATTTTGCAGAGAGGTGAAGCAGGGTGCCTGGGCCATTTAAGTTCCCTGCAGCAGGTAACCTGACAGTTGAGTTTTGGATAGGGGTGGAGTTTGAGGAGACAGGAGAGGGAGAGGGCAGAGGATGGCGAGGGAAGGGCATCCAGAGATCAGCCCAAACTGACAGTAGAGCGGGGAGCGCTCAGCAGGACTGGGCTGTCAGGGTGTGGAGGGGCAGAGGTGGTGGAAAATCAGGCTGGATAAATAGCTGAGTCTAAAGTGAGAGTAAAGAGGGGAATGATATGATTAGGACTCCTCCCATGCACCAGGCACTGTGCCAGGGGGCAAGGAGGTGGGGCGCTTCTTCTCTTCGAGTCCCTCTTCCCTTGAGCCTCAGCTCCTGCCTGGGTTGGCTTCTCATAACTATTTGCTGGATGAGTTACACATGAATGCTTAAACAAGCCTCATCTGAAAATAAACACAAAGTGGCATCGCTATGTTCTTTGGCATGTTGGATAAAGACAGGCGAAAGTAGCTATTAAACCGACATGTGGGTCACATCTAAGTGGAACAGCAAGTCCTTGACCCCTGGGCATATGTGATAGGGGTGAGCCAGATGGTCTACTGGGTACAGGAAGGAAGCATTAGAGTATTTTTATTAAAAAAAAACACATAAAGCCCTAGCCGGTTTGGCTCAGTGGATAGAGCGTCGGCCTGCGGACTGAAGGGTCCCGGGTTCGATTCAGGGCAGGGATATGTACCTTGATTGCAGGCACATCCCCAGTGGGGGGGTGTGCGGGAGGCAGCTGATCGATGTTTCTCTCTCATTGATGTTTCTAGCTCTCTATCCCTCTCCCTCCCTCTCTGTAAAAAATCAATAAAATATATTTTTTAAAAAACCACATAAAAACCCTCATCCATGCCTGGGCTGTGTGGCTCAGTGGTTGAGCATCAACCTATGAATCAGGAGGTCATGGTTCGATTCCCAGTCAGGGTATACGCTCAGATTGCAGGCTCAAGTCCCAGTGAGGGGTGTGTAGGAGGCAGCTGGTCAATGATTCTCTCTCATCCCTGATATCTCTATCTCTCCCCCTCTCCCTTCCTCTCTGAAATCAATAAAAATATGTTTTTTAAAAAACACCTAATCCTTTAAAACCCCTATCGGATGTGTAAGTTTTAGCATGTATGTTATTCAGTCATTCAGATAAATATTTACTGAGCACCCTCTAGATCTGTTCTAGAGACTGGGGATACAGCAGTGAACCACATAGGCTAAAATCTCTGCCTTCATGGAACCTCCGATAACATGGATAAATTATCTATCCATAAATATATGTATGGTTATTTGGGGGGAGTGCTCAAAACATTAAAACAATTATTTAGAGGGATGCACATTCGAAAAGGTTCAGAGACCATTGCTCTTTCCACAGAATTGGAATCCTATTTCAAGTATTTGGAAGGCTGAGCTAAACTAACAAGACCATTAGCCATACACACGCACAATCCTTCATTCACACACGGGGTCAACTATATGTGCAGCATCTTCTTAGGCAGTTGGTCATGCGCACATATCTGGTGATTTAGTTCCCCGAAGTCTAAAGGGAGGTGACTGTGTACAGATTATAGCTTGTGACCCGGACTGGGTTTCAGGCTAGCAGTGGAGCATAAGCACTTATAGGAGCAGGAACTGGTGAAGGTGGGTTAGGGTTGGTCAGGGTTATGGAGGCCTGCTGAGCAGAAGGACTGGGTGTCTTTAGCGATGCTGTAGATGGCAAGGCCAGAGGATTTCCCCATAGAGGGGTCTCACCTGGAGAGTGGAAGCGCTCTCAGGCAGAGGCAAAAGGAGGGTCTCCTGTGACACCACACTGAGGCCATGCGGGAAGGTGCACACAAGACAGAAAGTCTACAAAGGCTGTGTCCTAAACATCTTTTGTTTGCTTTGTTTTACATGGACACCTCTTTCTTGAAAGTCCATGGCTGTGTGTTCATAACATAAGAGAATATATTAGTCTCATGCAGGAGAAATCGCATACAAACCTTTAGCTAGAGCAGGATGGGGGGTGTAGGCAGGGGGGCCAGGGGGGCCTGGGTCACCCAGTTCTCCCTGGAGGAAAAAATAAAAGAGGAAAACAAGAATGTGAGACCGGCCTTCTGGAGTTTTGGACACTGCCTTGGTTCCGAAGGACAGGTCTGCAGTGGACCTCGAGCTTAGCGTTCTCTTCTGAATAACTGAACCACAGACTCTGCCGGGGGCGCCATCTCCATTATGCTGAGCCAGCAAGTCCCGCATCCCAGACACACCAAGAGACAACTAAGTGCGCAGCTGCCAACATCACTTTGAAATCCTTGTCAAACACTGGAGCCAGTCAGGGGGCTGCTTTCTGCAGGGCAGGCTGTTCTGTTGTTGATAATGGTATCTGAGTCACCCTGTAGGGTGAGCTGGGGCGGGAGGCGGGGAGGGGAGGGAAGGGGAGGGATGCAACAACACCCTGCTACAATGCCATCTGGACTGTAAGAGCTAACGCCCTGGAGCCTCTCTGGGTCCCACAGATCTAACTCTGACATCCGCTGTCTTCACCAGCTGAAAAGGCTCCCTAACTGGCTGGATTCCCCATCAGCTGGTGCAGCTGTAGCCCACCAGGTCCTCATCCTACTGGGTTTCACTTCTCTGCTGGCCCATGAATTACCCAAACACGTCAGTCATATCCTGCCTTGGGGACTAGGGGTGTCCTACCCTCTTGTTACTACAAAGCTCCTCCCCCCAGCCCCGCTGGTTCACTCTGCTCAGTGGGGTCCTGCAGGGCATGTAGCATCCTAAGGCTGGGATAATGTGACTAGTAAATGCTGTGTGCTCGGTTATCTATTCTTATATAGGTTAGAGCAGAGGGTGCCAACCTTTCGGAACTCACGGACCAGCAGTGGTCCACGGACCACCGGTTGGCGACCACTGGGTTAGAGGATACTTCCTTGTCCAACATGGTGTGTAAGAGGTGGTCAGAACACCATCCAAAGAAACCAAGTGAAAACCATCCGAATGAAAACCAAGCTCACCTTGGGTCCCTGGGGTCCCACAGTGCCCGGATAGCCATCTGGTCCTCCGCTTCCCTGCAGGAGAGATATTTGGTGCTTATTTTTATCTCTGTAATTTACAGAACTGACCAAAATACCATTATTATGTCTAATGACATGAATAATAATTCCTTAAAGTCACCTCCTACACGGCCTCTGTTCAAATTTTCCTGATTTTGGTTTCAAAAACATCTTTGTTCTCAAAAAATTGCTCTGTTTATGCATCAGGATCCAAAGTCCAAACATGACATTTGGCTGATATGTCTTTTAATTTTCTTATAATAGCTTCTTCTTCCTTTCTACTTTTTTTTCAGTAACATTTTGTTGTTGTTGCTATTGAAGAAACTAGGTCATTGGGGCTGCCAATCCCCAGCGTAGGGGACCTGCTACGCATGACCTTGTGGTGTTGTGTAACATGACTCTCTACCCTTGACTTTTTCTAAATTAGCAGCTAGACCTAGAAGCTTCCTTAGGCTCAGGTTCACCTTTTAAGCAAGAACTGTTCCTGGCGGGTGCTGTGTCCTTCCCAGTGGATCGGTATAGGATGCACAGATGCGAGTTTAAGTGATTTTATAATTGATCAGTGGGGTCAGGTGTGGACAACCTGATCCATCTATTAAAACCTCCCTCCCAGACGGGCTTTGTAAATTTCAGTGAACACGAAACAGGAGCATTAATGCTGCCCATTTAGTTTCATGTAAAAAAAAAAATCTCTAGTGCTAACCGTTGCTTTCTAATCCCCCCAAATATATATCAACAAAAGCCACATCATATCTGGGTAGATATGTAGTTTTAAAAAATAATCTAGAAATTTATTCTGTCTTGCCAAAGAATATGTACAGCGAGTCCCCCCCCCCCCAAAAAAATAAAATTCAGAATGCCAGAGTGCCAATTATCTAATTATTTTACCAAATATTTTAAAATCGAGGAGCATGTGTGCCGAAAATCACGTTGTCTAGAATGAACTGAGGTGGGCTTACGCTGTGTTTTTCATGAAGGCCAATTTTTCTGATATTAAAAATGATCTCCTACTTAGAGGCCATCTCATGAGATAGGTTAGGAATCACTGAAGACCTTGCCAAGGACTGGGGAGTTGGCAACGAGGCATTTAGTCTGAGCTGAGTCCAGGCTGACATAATAATCCAGCTCAAACAACACGCTGGACTTGGCCAAATCTACACACCATTCCGTGCCACCCACGCACTGCTCAGCCATGCCGAGACGCCATCAACAGCAATCACAGGCATCCCCAGAACTAATTAAAGTTCTATCAATCTCTGGTGGGATGAGGGAGGGGTAGCTGATTGCTCCTGTAGAACAAGCAAAATCCTTCCCAGAATCTTCTCTTTTTTTGGCTCATCCTATTTCAATGCATTAATGCTGGTGTGCACAGTTGCTCCTTGGAGCTGCCTTTGGTTACTGGTTCCATTTTACATCCTAAAACCGAAGTTTGTGAGTACAACTGAGATGTTAGTTGGGGAGCCACAGCAACTTGGCAGTAAGATAGCAACTGGTAGACAGGTGGGTGCGGGGTGGCACGAAAACGCAGGATGACCCATTCATGTGTGTATATCCTGGGCATTTCTTATCTTCACAAAGAAACAATTCCCCCACAGCAGCTGAGATGCCCCACTTAATTGGAAGCATCTGTATCTCCCCTAGTTGTTGCAAGTGCAGGAAGCAAGCTGGAAATTGTGAGCCTTAGATCCTAACATCTGGACCACAGCATTTAGGCGCCCCAGGTGGTCCATGCCTGGTGAACATCTTGTCTTTCATTAAGTTTTGAGTTCTAGGGGGTGGCTATGTTGAACTGCATTTTAAAAACACCATAACTCCTTAGTGTTGGGTGTAGAAAAACAAATCATAATTATGATTTCACTAGCACATGGCAGGCACACAAAGTATTAACAGCAGTACTTTAGTTTCGTGGGGTGGGTTGAAATGAATTACTTTTAAATGCTCATGTTTGCCATAGTCCTCTGTCTCTTTACAGCACTTGCTTACTGTACTCCTTAAACTAGAATTTGGCCTTTGGCCTTTAGTTGGGGGTATTGCATGGACAGCAGCTGTTTCTAGGCATGTGACCTTTAGGGGTACTCCTATCAGGTACTAATGCCATGAGAAGGTGGATGTAATTAGGGCAAACCCTGGTGTCATCCCTGGCCCGAGTTTGGGGTAAAAGGATAGGAATAGGAAAAATAAAGCCAATTGAAGTTGCAGGAAAGAATCAAATTTGGGGCTCCTTGTGAGTGGTCAAAACCAGAACTTGGGATGCAGGCGCCTGAGTCTAGAGCTGAGGAGGCCAGAAACCAAATCTGGGGGACCAAGTCCCCTCAGTAGTCCCAGGGACTGACGAGACCCACTGCTATTGGGATCCCTATGGTTCTTCAATCCTGCAACAGAGTCGTGAGCATAATCAGGGCAGTCACGATTTGGAGGCTGAATCGATTTTTTGAAATAGTCTATTTCTATGTGGAAATACTAGCCCATGGGCACCAAGATGCGTGTACCATAATGTCGACTGCATGATTGCTGAAAATAGCAAGCAGCTGGAAGCCACTGCATGGGCTGTTAAGCAAACGTGGCAGGACCTTTCACTGCAATTCTATGCAGCTTGTTAAGAGAAGAGAACCATGTACCAGTGGATGTGAACGTGCTAATGCGGAATAATCTCTAGGGCCCATTGGATGAAAAAACAAGTGGCAGCATGATACAGATAGTGTTACTCTCTGTTGTTAAATTATATGCACGTAAAAATACATGTCCTTGTCTGAAAGAGTTGTCTAAAACAATACCCACAGAATTATTACCAGTGTTTGCCTCAGGGAGAATGCTGTGGGCCCGTGAAAAAAAGACGGTCTGCTACATATTCCACAATCAAATTAGGGAAGGTAATAGGTAATTAATTAAAAAATCTATTTCTATGTGTACTCTCTCATATGACCCAGAGTTCAGACAGTTCTAAGCCTGATCCAGATTCAAATGCATTTCTCACATGTTTTCTTCTTAAAAAAAGTGCCAAACATCTGTCCACAGAACACATGGTAAAAATATGTAATTGGGTCATCATTAAAGATAAACGAAGTGTCTACGTGTGTGAGATCAACATGTAAAAAATGTAGGTGAACTCTTGGTCACCACGCTGACAACCTTCCTGAGACTGACACACAGTGGCCCAGGCCAGGGGTGACACTGAAGGTACAGGAGCCGTGGCTGCAGGTGCTGGATGAGGGGAAGCCTGAAGGGAAAGAACCACAGGAAGAAACCAAAGGGCTGCTTTGCAAAAATGAGAAAAAGGTAAACAATCTGACTCCAGCATTCTGAACGATCTGGGATGATGCCATGGTAAATGCAGGTAAATGGTAAATGTTTTTTATCTGGGGCAACCCCCGCCCCCTCCGCCCCCAATTCCACAGTCTTCCTATTTGATTTCTGTGAGATGTTTCAGGCCTGGAGCACTTACTTTCTCTCCTTGTGAACCTCTGTCACCGTAGGTGCCCGGGGGGCCCTGGGGAGGACAGAAAACAGAAGCAATAACAGCTTAGAAGAGGCAGCAGCTTTTCCCATGGCATCACCATGAGCTGACATGGACTCAAACAAAGCGCTTTATCATGAGAGTATGGAAACCATCTGAAACCCCCTTTCTTCTCTAAAGGAGATGGCTCATTTTGGCGACACTTTCACATAATGCAGTGGTTCTCAATCTTCTGGCCCTTTACATACAGTTCCTCATGTTGTGACCCAACCATAAAATTATTTTCGTTGCTACTTCATAACTGTAATTTTGCTACTGTTAGGAATCGTCATGTAAATATCTGATATGCAGGATGGTCTTAGGCGACCCCTGTGAAAGGGTCGTTCGACCGCCAAAGGGGTCGCGACCCACAGGTTGAGAACCGCTGACATAATGCATCATGTCTACCACTTCACAAACTACGGAGAAATCCATAAAGACGGGATGGTGAAAATGGTAAAGATAAAAAAGTCCTGGGTTCCAAAGTGCTCATGAGTCTCTGTCCTTATTTTTGGAGATTGTAACACGTCTTTTTAGCGGTAGTGGCTACCACCACAAGGACACTTTCTCTTCTTCCCGACCCATGGTTTGGCCACATTTCCCAGCTCACTGCAGCTAGGTTTGGCCAGGTGACTGAGTTCTGGCTGATGGAGGGAGGCCTGCCTTAGGGCAGGGGAGCCACAGGGGGCTGAATCTCCTCAAGAGGAGACACTCCCCTGCCCCCTCCCCACCCCACTAGGGACATTTTTGTTGGATTCTTGGGGCAGCAAGAAATCATCTTCTTGTGTGCTGGAATCAGTCTATATTTTTGTCACCACAGATTAATCTGGCGTAACTAATACAAGCAGAAATGTGCTTGTGTTCTGTTCCCACCCTTCTCCAAATGGAGGTGCGCAGTTTTAAGAACCACAGTTAATGGGCGATAACGTTGTGCCCATCCATATAGGCTCCTCTTGTCCACTGTTGCCAATGGACATTCTGGTTTGGGACGCAGACAGCGGGGGATGCTGCGTGTGTAGAGGGAGAGGGGGTATGAGGCAAATATCTCTGCCCATTTGCTGTGAACCAAAATCTGCTCTCTTCTCCCCACCCCCACCCAAATAATGCCCATTTAAAAATAAAAACAAAACAAAATAAGCCACAGTGATAGAATGCATGCATTACCCGGGGTCCTGGGAAGCCCAGGATTCCTTCTTCTCCCTTCAAGGAAATGCCCTAGGAGAGAACACAGAGACCTGAGCCACAGCCAGCACCTTCTCTCTTTACCTGCAGCAGTAATCCCATTTCTCATGCCCTGAGGCTGGCCTGCCTCTGGGGTTTTCTCTTCCAGCTTCTGGAAGGAAGGGAATAGGGATCTGAGTCTGCCTGCGTAGCACCTCTCCCCGCCACATGGTAAGTGGCCATGTGGGAGGGCAGGGGATACCAGGGCAGGCGTGACGAAGACTGAAGAGAGGGCAGAGCGGTCCCCCAGCTGAGACCCCCCCAGAGCAGAAGCCAGCCCATCACACCTGTCCAGCCCCCTCCACCCACACATCTTCTTTTTAAAAGCATTTAGATTCATTTGATGAGCTTCACAGAATGTTGATTAACCGGTATTTACTATGCAAAAAAGGAAGACATTCGAAGACTATTTTCTGAAAAACACACAAAACAACAACAACGAACACACACAAAAATATCTGATACAAATAAATGGTAACACTTTCTCGCTGTAGACAAATGGGTTGGGAACCAACAGTCCCTGGGTCCCTGGGACCCCTGCACATTCTCATGGCAATAGGATCGCCAAGAATTTGGGAACCACAAGGGGGAAGAAACCTCTTTATTGCTCGACTTACTATTGTTCCTTTTTCCCCCTTACTTCCTTTTTCACCCTGTGAAGAAAATGAAAAAAAAAAGAAACACATTAATTTGAGAATAGTGATACTTAAAATTAATCAGGCTTTGTGATATGAAGTGAAAAGTACTGAACAAAACTGAAACAACCATTATAAATGAATTGTAGTAAGCATCTAAATTTTGCAGCTTCACAATTCAAGGGAGAAATGTGTTATTTCTTTTGGATTTTCATGATAGACATGAAATCGTGTTATTTTTGATGTGATGGCAAGGCTGTCTCTACATGGTTTCCTTTGTGACTCCACAGTGGCAGGCATATAATACCACCCTGTGGTGGGAGAATATGCCCAGAGAAAAGCCCCGAATGACAACACTCATTTAAATAAAATACTATAAGGAGGGTTCTCTGAGGAAGAGACACATTTGGGATGTATTGAAACCCCAGGCAAAGGTCGCTTTGGAAGGCAATGTCAACCCTAAATGATCTTTCTTTTTCTTCCTCTCTTGGTTTAAAATGGCAAAAGAAATGTGACCGGCCAGGTCCTAGCTCTCCATCACTGCTAGGACAGTGCCCGGATCCCTGCTGACCAAGACTGCCCCCTGCAGGCTGGCCAGGCCCCAGCCCTGGACAATCCCTGTTGGTGGCAGGAAAGGAAGGAAATGTGTTTTGGATGCTTGAGCACCTCAGTGAGGATTGAACCTGCTTTGGTCTCACTCCATCCTCAGCTCCTGGACAGAGATCCTACCTGGCTGGTGGTCAGGTCACCACTAGGAGCCACAGGTCTGCCCAGAATCTATCTATGGCTGTCCAGGGATATCTGTCTCACTTTCTCAGCCGTGCACAACCACCTGCTTCTGACTCGCTTTCCTCAGGCATGTCTGCTAGCACCAGCCACCTTCCAGGCCATTTCTGTCAACGGTCAAGTCACTTACTACTGAGCTACCGCTAAGGCAGTGGTCACACCTGCCTCTCCCATCCACGACCAAGCACCCAAACCCCATCTTGACAGATACCTGATTGTTGGGAATGATATTCTAGGTTTGGGGTTTTTATTTTGGTTCCCATTGATCGTGCCTGACTTTAGACTAGGCGTTTCACCTGTGTCCACTCCACAGCTCTACAAGGTTGGCATCTGCATTACTATCTGCAGTGGGTACAACAGAACACGAAGGCTTAGGAAGGTGAAGTGGCCCATCCGAACGTGTCAGTGGTAGAGCAGGATGGTGATTTTTACTGGCTTCCAAGAGTATGTTTTTAATTAAATGAAACAGTAATAGACATTATAAGGGCCAGAAAATGAATCTGGATAAACAAGCAACAACCCCACCGTGACTCTGTCAGTGAAGAGTAAAAGCGGGCTTGTTTTGCAGATCACAGTGTTTTGTCAGAGAATTCCATGTACAGGGTTTGAATTATGCTCTGACCATAACCTACATCTACACGGGAGACTCGCATACTTAAAGATAGATTTGAGATTTGTTATGGATCCTCGTGTTGCTTCAAATTCATCACGATTGTTTAAGATGATGGACTGACATGGTTATTTGACTGAACGAATAGTTGTGCTTTCATCCACAATTTCCTGGCGAGGCCTTTCCCTCTTTGCATGCGACTGTTTGAATAAGATCGAATAAAGTTACCTTTCCCCCCTTGTCTCTCTTTCTTTCTTCTAGTTCCACTGAGAATACAGCCTATTTGGCGGAGCCCCATTACCTTGTACGGGGGGACGGTAACCTTTCCGGGCCCGGTGATCGGTTGAAAGTCTGACGGAGGCCCGTTGGGCCCTGGGGCGCCCATGTCACCCTGTGAATTGTATAGCAAAGCAGCAGTCTTTAGATTGAGAAGACACTACCAAACTTTAGCAAAAGCATGCTCCCACCACAAACTGCTTTTTGTCTCTTTGCATATTACTTATCACATGCGCACCAATTTTGCAGTGTTCTATTTATAAATCCAAATAAAAATCAGAGTTTAAGATGAAAGAATCGTAACGTAAAATTATTTGTATCCCACTTGCATCAATAATCATTTAGAATGTCTGCCTACAGGCTGGTTGGGCTGTTCACAATTTGGGGCTGCATTTGCTTCTGTGGAATTACTTCCTTACGATAAATTTCTATCCAAGGAAATTATTAGGTCTGAGGGCTTAATGTCTTTATGGCTCCTGAAAGGTATCACTCTATTGTTTGCCTAGATTGGCACATAGATATAAGAAACGCTTAGGAAATGAGTGATTAACTCCAGTTTCTCCACTACTTCACCATGTAAGGGTTTTTTTTTTTTTCTTTTTAAATACATTTTATTGATACCACTACTTCACCATGTAAGGGGTTTTTGTTTTTTTTTCTTTTTAAATACATTTTATTGATTTTTTTACAGAGAGGAAGGGAGAGGGATAAAGAGTTAGAAACATCGATCAGCTGCCTTCTGCACACCCCCCACTAGGGATGTGTCTGCAACCAAGGTACATGCCCTTAACCGGAATCGAACCTAGGACCCCTCAGTCCTCAGGCTGATGCTCTATCCACTGAGCCAAACCGGCCAGGGCTGTAAGGGTGTTTTTATATAATAGAAAGCAGCATCTTTAACCAATATAATATCTAAAGTTTGCTTTAATTTGCATTTTTATCATTAGTAAGAATCACTTTTCTATGTGGTACACAGAGGGTGAACGTATAGATCTGTAACATCACTGGACAATTACCCTGACATATGCTTGCTTGATCTCCTGGGAACTAATTGACACAGGAAGAAAGTTATTCTTGTTTTTTTCTTTTGCTATTTCCATGTATAAACTATATAATATCAGTTTGAACCCAGACTTTACATAATATGAACAGGAACAAATTGAAATGATGTATTAGCGGCAGAAAGTGGTACTCCATAGTGTATTCTGAGTGTCTGCTAATATTATACCTAAAAAGTACCTAAACTGTTTGTTCATATACTCTTTATCTATGGGGGCCTTGAAGGTTTTTTATTTTTTATTAACAATTTGAATAAGCTTTTTATACATTACAGACATTAACTTCATTTCCATTCTATATAATGTGACTATTCTTCCCAGATTTTTCCTCTTTTTATGTTATTTGGCTATTTTATTATATTTCATTGGACAGGAACTTAAACTTTTATGTATTTACATCATCCAATGTTTTTCTTTTGTAGTTACTTGCACGGTATTAACACAAAGAACAAAGTACTTTTCGCACCTGTGTAGTGAAAGTTTAATGTGCGCTTCAATCAAAAAGTAAAATGTAAAACAAAATGAAAATGCTCAAAGGACACCAAACGAACACATCTGTTTTATAGGTTTTGTGGGGGAATGCGATGGGGTTGTGTGAGGGTTAGCTCACTGGGTGTGGACACCATGTTGAGCTTTTCCTATAAGTGATCTCCAGTGATCCTCTCAAAGGTCATGCGGTCTTTGAATCTCAGCACTGTGGGCAATGATAACAGTCCATGTGGTCCTCTTTCCTGCCATGTCACCTGGGCCCTGACCTGGCTTGTTAGTCTGTGGCTCTGGCGCCAGTTTCCTGTCATCCCTGGACTCCCCATGTTAGAAGATGGCTGAGGTCATGTCTGTGCCACAGGTCCAGGGCCATCCTACTTGGTTCACTTCCGCTGTCTTATTGCTGTCTTACTGCTCCATAACTATCACCAAAGTGCGTATGATAACATGGCACTTTATAATAATTACTTTCTGTGCAAATGGTCTATTTGAACATCACCTCAAGAGAATAGCATAAGACATAGTCATTGAAATTTCTTTCCTAACTGTTACACATTGCATGCGGCTGCTTTAATCTGTTGTTTCCTTTACCTTGTCACCCTTTTCTCCATAAAAACCGAGTCCTCTGTTGCCCTGAAAGAGAAATGAGTTTCTGTAAGTTTTAAAAGTCAATTATCAGCAGGCTAGAAGGGGTCAGTGGGGGTGGGGGGAGGGGGAAGGAAGGGGATATATTCAACAATGAAGATAAACTTTAAAAAAGTCAATAATCACAGTGAAATAATTTTTTTTTTCTAGAAAAAGAGACCTAAAATATATTTGCAACACCACTGGACAACTATCCTTGTATAACATTCTGGCTTCACATCTCAGAAACTAATTGACACAAGGAGAAAGTTACTCAAACAAAACAGATTCATAGATACAGAGATCGAAGTAATGGCTGCCAGAGGACAGGAGGGCTGGGAGATGCAAGAAGAAGGTGAAGGGATTAAGCGCACAAATTGGTAGTTACAAAGATCACAAGGATGTAAAGTACAGCATAGGGAATATAGTCAATAATCCTATCTAATAAATCCCTAATATGCAAATCGACCAATTGGTGGAACGACCAGTTGCTATGATGTGCACTGACCACCAGGGGGCAGACGCTCAACATAGGAGCTGCCCCTCTGGTGGTCAGTGTGCTCCCACGGGGGGAGCGATGCTCAGCCAGAAGCCGGGCTCACGGCTGGTGAGTGCAGAGGTGGTGGCAGGAGCCTCTCCTGCCTCCACTGCAGGTGGGTAGTAAGGAGAGACTGGTCCTGGACTGTGAGAGCCCTGGACTGCGAGAGGGATGTCTGACTGCTGGCTTAGGCTCGTTCCCAAGGGGTCCTGGTCAGTGAGAGGGCACAGGCCGGGCTGAGGGACTGCCCTCCCCAGTGTGCAATTTTCGTACACGGGGCCTCTAGTATTCTAATAACTATGTAGGGTGTCAGATGGGTACTAGATTAATTGGGGAGATCACTTTGTAAATTACATGTCTACCCACTATGCTGTACACCTGAAACCAATACAAAATAATATTGAATATTCACTGTAATTGAAAAATAAAGTTAAAATAAATTATTGTCTTTTCTTTTGCTATTTCCATATGTAAAGTGTACAGCGAAAGTCTGAGTTCAGACATCACATAGTTTGAACAGGAACAAACTGAGCTGGTGTATCAGTTGCAGAAGGTGGCAGGCACTTCACAGTGCATTTTGAGCATTCACTAAGATTAAACCTAAATGATGAAAATTCTGGGGTTCGTGAAAACGATAGGCTATTCTTTTAATACAGAGATGCTTTGGAAAAATAAGCAAAACCTCAGAAATAGTGGACTAAGAGCAGTTATTTTGTCACCCTTGGGAATAGTCTACTGTTTGACTTTTGAAATATATTCTACTCTTCAAATATCCTGATGATCAGCATTGACTCTATACTCGCTGTATGTACTATAACAGCCCAGGGTCCACTCTCCCTTTAATCCTCCACAACACAGGAGGAGTCACGGATAGTCACACTGTCGTATCCTATGACCTTGGCCTCAGAGCTAATGAGTGGCAGAGCTTGATTTGACCCCAGGTCGTTCTGATTCTTAATCGTTCATCTAGTGCAGTGATGGCGAACCTTCTGAGCTCGGCGTGTCAGCATTTTGAAAAACCCTAACTTAACTCTGGTGCCATGTCACATATAGAAATTTTTTTGATATTTGCAACCATAGTAAAACAAAGACTTCTATTTTTGATATTTATTTTATATATTTAAATGCCATTTAACAAAGAAAAATCAAACAAAAAAATGAGTTCGCGTGTCACCTCTGACACGTGTTATAGGTTCGCCATCACTGATCTAGTGTCTCTACAGGTATGTGTTTCTGCAGGTCTGGCCCTTTCAGATGTAGAAACCAGCCATTCCTCCCCACCACCCCCCC